GATGAAAGTGTGAGGAATCCCTCACGCTCTAGCGTGGCCCCCGGGTGCCACAGCCTCTGTCCCCTGCCTGTGTGAAGTCACAGCAACCTCTCTGTGCACCGTTCTCCTGTCTCCCCGGGTCAGAGTCTCAGCCATGGTTGGATGGGGTCCAAAATGAGGAGAGGAAAGGAAAGGAGGGCCTGAGAGACATGACCAGAAGAGGCCAGGGGTGGGACACCCACGGTGGGGTGGGGGTCTCCACCCACTGCTGCCTAGGGGGCAAGGCGCACGTTTTTTCTTAGGGTCTCCTTTTATTTTCCTGGTGAAAAAAGAGACTGAGTGCCCCTGGCCAGGGTGTAGACTGGCTGTCCACGAGGTGAGCGGAACTCATGTGTGGGCAAATGTGACATCTCTCTCCCAGGGGGACACCTGACTCCGGCTCAAGCCAGAAACAGATCCTCCGTTTCCTCAAGAATGTCTCCCCTTTGCCACTTCTTGGAACTTTTCAAAGTCCTTGCCGCTTGGTCAGAACATCATGGGAAGCAGTGCCAAGTCGCAAACGCCACAGCTGTTTAGTTTCTAAGTTCTGCAGCTCTCCCTTCCTCTCTCAATGCTGCTTTCTGCCTGCTCGTTCCTGGAGAGGAGAGGAGGAGGGATCCTCAGACCCGGCCGGCTTGGGCTGGGCCAGCCTGCGGGGCAGGAGCCGGGCTGCGCCTCGCCGTCTCCTAGGCAACCGACACTCGGCCAGCCAGACGGCTGTCTGCGCCGGAGAGGAGAGAGAGGGCACGGCGGCGCGGCGTCTTTATGCACCGCAATTTTTTTTCTTTCCTGACTGTTGCTTGATTTTGAGAAAAGGTTGTTTCACTTCCCTGTTGGGTTTTGGCCTCTGTGTCCGGTGTGTAACCCTCGCGTCTCCTGAATTGCATATGCGTATTTTCCCAGTGGTTTCTTAAAGAAAGCCTTGCTGTGAATGCGGTCAGGTTTCCATTCCTGAGTGATCCCTGGGAGGGCCACAGCCCACATAAGTTTTTATGGACAGTGGTAAGGCAAACAGAGTCTACGGCTTCCTCGGTTAGGCTCTGTGCACGTTCATGTTTTGTAAGCCGTCCCTTCCTGTGGGGGTGTTTTTCCGTTTCATGTGCTCTATTTCCTTAGTGACTGTTGCTCTGTTATGGGAGGGACTTAATGACATCTTTCAAGTGCAATATTGAATTAATTTATTTCCTGGTTAGTCCTGCCCATCTTTAGTATAAATAGAACATGTGTGTGTGTGCGTGCGTGTGTGTGCATGTGTGTGTACATGGCAGAGTGATGGTAGCGTCCAGGGTGGGCTCTTGAATGTTCGGCTCAGGCTGACTCCGTGACCTTGCGACCTGGTAAGTTAGCAGTTACCTTCTGTTTTTACTCTTCCTCTCTTCTTTCCCCTTTGGTTTTCCTGATTTGTATAATATCAGGTGAACTACTGGAGCCTTGGCAGTATGGTGGGCCAGGCTGTGGCCGGAAGGCAAGAGGCAGGTGCAGATTGGCCGTCCTGCCCGCCGGTTGTTGGCGCTTGGCTACTTCAGGCTGTGCGGTAGAGCTTTCTCTCTGAGGAGATGTGAATCAGTGACTCCTGAAGGCCTTTCCTAGAGAGGGCCTGCTATGAGGCATGACATCCCGGTAAGCGGAGGACCAGAGATCAGCAGAGCTGGGGAGCCAACCTGAGAAACGCCCCGTATCAATTCAGCGCCGGAGCTGGCTTTTATTTGTTGGTGTTCGCCGAACCTTCTCCATGCAACCTCTGCTCTCGTGCTGGACGCAGGCAGTAGTCCTGAGAGAAGCTTGACACAGTGGCTTCATTCACTTAACCCGTTCATCCAGGAAGGACATTTTTACTGAGCCCCTACCAGGTGCCAGGTGACGCCCTAGGAGCTGAGAAGTGCACAATCACAAGGGCCAGTCTCCGTCCTTGTCCTGGTGGTGCTTACAGTCTAGTGGGAGAGGACATCTGCCTGGAGCTGCAGCCACAGGGAGTGCAGGAAGCTGGCTCTTAGCGGGGCTCAATTTCTGGGGGACCATCACAGAGGCATCTGTGGAGGGTCCTTTGAGCTGAGCCTGGAAGAGCAGGTGGTGTGTCACAAGCTGCAGGCATGGAGCTCAGAGGACAGGAGGGCCATCAGATGAGGCACTTTGTTCACCTTTCCTGCAAAGATACACAGCATGGCCGTGCTGGTTGTGGGTTGGCTACTGAACTCTGGGTGCCATCAAAAGCAGAGCCAAGTTGCGTCTGCTGACCAGGCTGGTAGCTGGTGTTTCCTGTGGGTCCTGCTTGCCCGTCTCTGCCCAGCCAGGGGGTCAGTCACCTGACACGTGCTCCCGAGCGCTGATGGCTTCTGGCCCATTCCTGTTGGCCAGGCTAGCTCACCGAAGAGAACACAGGCTGCAGGTTCCGGCATCCCACGCCTTGTTGTTGTTTATGTCTAGAAAGGGCATCACATCTGTGTTGTTGGCAGTTGGGAAGAGAACATCTGAGGGTGCTTAACAGTTTCATTTTAAATTGCCTGAGGAGCGTCAGTGTGCACGGAGGCACAGGCGAGTCATCCATTGGTGCGGTGACATCAGCAGCCTCCCTCCTACCTCTAATGGGAACCCCAGCCCCTGGTAACCTCCATTCTGCTCTCTGCTTCTATGAGATAAACTTTTAAAAATTCCACGTAAGTGAAGTCAGAGAGTCTGATGCTTGGCTCATTCCACTGAGCGTCACATCCTCTGGATTCCTCATGTGGATTCCCACGTTTTCCTTGTTCACCCATCCGCTGGCAGACACTGAGGCTGCTGCCATAGCTCGGCTATTGTGGGTAAGTGTCGTGGTGATCAGCGGGGTGCCAAGGTCTTCTTGTCACTGATTGCCATTCCTGTGGCTATGACGTGGCTGGATCCTACGGCAGTTCTATCTTTAGCTTTCTGAGGAAGCGGTATCCCGCCTTCCACCAGGAGGGCACCGATTTAGACCCCACAGCAGGGTGCAGGGGTTCCCTTTCCTCCGCATCCTCACCAGCACTTGTTACTGCTCATCCTTCGGATGACAGCCATTCCACTAGAGAAGACATCTCAACAACGGTTTTAATTTGCATTTCCCTGATAATTAACACAGTTGAGCCCCCCCTTTTTTTTTAAAATTTCTTCATTGGCCATTTATAAGTCTTCTTTTGAGAAATGTCTGTTCAGGGTCTTTGCTCACTTTTAAATCAAGCTGTTTTCTTGCTGTTGAGGTGTTTGGGGAAAAATACTTGCAAACCACATATCTGATAAGGGGCTAAAGCAGGAACTCAAACCATGGGGTTATATCTTTTCTCTGTGCTTGTTTCCTTATGATAACTTGACTTTTAAAACAGCAAGGTAGCTTTACTTCTGCAATGAAACAGAACAAAATAAAAACCCCAGAATGAAACAACTGCATTTGAAAAGTCTCATCGCAGTTCATTTTTCTGAGTTCAGTGAAAGAGAACTAAAAAAAATCTAGCATTTCTAGCAGGGAAACCGTCATAGAAAAGGACAGAGAAAAATGAAAGTTTTAGGGTAGGTGGCGCTTGTTTTGTCTGGCAGGATACGTTCTGTTTCCTAAAACTGGTGAATATGTGCACTAGATCAGTTCACTGTAGAAGTTGGTATAGGACTTCGGGGTTCAGATACTGTGTGTGTTGGTTGTTTTTAGATGGGCTGTTTAAATTCTGAGGAAAAATGTTTTCTCACGTTTTTAAGCACTTCAGAACCACTATTTGCATAAATAATTGATTCTAAATTAAAACAAAATTGCATCTATTCATTAAACTTAAAGACTCCTACTGGGCTATTCCTTATTAACTGAATATCTTAATGTAATTAAGGTGCTTTATTAATTTGTAAGGTATTCCTTATAATTAGTCGATGTCAGTGATGTTTTACTTCATTACCTTGTGTTTACAGCAACAGGAGGTGTTAACAGTGGGTTTCTTTCTACTATGGGGTCTGTTTACTCAAGTCCTTTTTCTTTTCTGTAGGTTAGCAATAAATAAGAGGAGTAAAGTTACATTTTCTACAGAGTGTTGTAGCAGGAGCATCTGAGCGATTTAGACGCTCATGTCCCGGTATTGAAGTGCCAGGGTTTGATACTTGGCTCCGGCTCCTGACTCCAGCTTCCTGCTGGTGCAGACCCTGGGAGGCGGTGGGGATGGCTCACCTGACTGGGTTCCTGTCAGCCACACGGGAACCCTGGATTGCATTTCTGGCTTCCAGCTTTGCCCAGGCTTGGGCTTGTTAACTGGCATTTAGGGAGTGACCCTGTGGGTGAGAACACTCTCTGAGTCTTTCAGATAAATAGATGACATTTAAAAAGTATCAACTTAGAAAAATATTGGGCATAAAGTGAATAGGATGAAGTTTCAAGGGAAAAAGGGTTTCTTTTCCCCAGTATAGGAGATTGATATTCAGGGTTGGTTTCAGAACTCCAGGTCTTTGAGCATCTCACATTCTTGTTAGCATTGCCTCACATATGACGTTAAAATAAAACATTAAAATATCTGAAAAGTATTCTTTAAACTGTTTTCACTGTTATGCACTATATGGACCAATTTATAGATCAAATTTGTTTTGTCCTTCCCACCCACTCTCATTGAAAAGCTATGTGGGCCTTTGTCCCCCGCCCCTCTTAAGAGTCACTCTCACAGACTGCTGGGTCGAAGTCCGGATTTCTCCCTTCCGGTGCGCTGACGGTGGTGGGTCCACACCCCAGACTCTGGGACCCGCTCAGGAGATGGGTTTCTTCTGGGTGTCTGCGAACTCTCACTCTATGCTCGCTGCAGCGACTCCTAGGGGCTCCGAGGAATGCAGGTGGAGGTGCAGGTGGAGCCCCCCCCCCCCCCCCCCATAGAGCTCTCCCAGTGCCATCGGTGGGGTCATGGGCATGGCTCTGAGTGGCTTTGTCTTTGTGGCCTCTCTAGCTCTGCTGGCGTTAATGCTCCTATAGGTCTTCAGGAAAGTGACCTCTTTCTTTTCAATTTCAGCAAAGGGAGAGGTGAAGTGCGGAGCGGCTGATCAGACGCGGCGGGGCTGCCTGGGCGCTGTGACTGCCGAGGGTGCCGGCTACCGCGGCGGCGGAAGAGGACCTCGTTCCGAGGTGGGGAGTAGGTCTCCGCGGGACAGCTTCTCCACGCCCCGGCTCGCCATGGCCTCTACGCTCTGGCTGGACGGCTGACGGACTGCGTGCACCGCTGGACTGCGTGCCGTCCAGGTCCTGCCTGCTCGCAGGGCGCGGGAGCCGGGCACGTGGGCATCCGATGCTCCCCAGAGCCGGACTGGCAGAGCGATGGACTTGCACAGGCTAAGATGGAAGTGACCTGAGGCCTCGGCCAGGCGGGTCCCTCGCGAAGGACAGCTTGAGAGTCGGCGCACGGGCTTGTCTGGGGAGCAGTATGCAGGAAGCTGGCTTTCAGGCCACAAATGCTTTCACAGGTGAGCGTCCACGTGCCTAAGTGGAGTCTTTGTTCCAGCTCTTAGCAGGTCTGTAAGGAAGCACCAACCACCTGCAAGGAGTGTGCACCCTAGGAGCGGAAGGCTGCGCAGCATCAGGGGCTCAGGCTGCACGGTGGCTGTGATTGCCACAGAACAGTAGTGCGTTTTCCTTCTCTCTGTAAATAGGAAATTGAAGTGTTTTATGTTGTATGATTCTGGCTTGTTTGTCTGCTTGCGTTATAGGACACACCCAGTATCCTGCAGTAAGTGTAGAGTTCCTCCAAGCCCCTGTGCTCTGGGGAAATTGTGGAGCCAGGTATGGGGGATTTTTGTTTCTTTTTTTTTTAAATTTATTTATTTATTCGAAAGTCACAGTTACGCAGAGAGAGAGAGAGAGGTCTTCCATCCGCTGGTTCACTCCCTGTTTGGCCACAACGGCCGGAGCTGTGCTGATCCGAAGCCAGGAGCCAGGAGCTTCTTCCGGGTCTCCCACGTGGGTGCAGGGGCCCAAGTCTTTGGGCCCTCCTCTACTGCTTTCCCAGGCCATAGCATAGAGCTGGATGGGAAGTGGAGTGGCTGGGGCTTGACCGGCGTCCATATGGGATGTTGGCACTTCAGGCCAGGGTGTTAACCGACTGTGTCACAGCGCCGGCCCTGGATTTTTGTTTCTTAGCAAAACTCTCCTGTGACGTCTCTGAGGGAAAAGTTACCGTTCCCTCCCTGGCATTGGTGTGTTCCTCAGATCCCTTCTTGTGAATGTGGGGGCTGGTGAGGGCAATTTGACTGAACTCACTCTGCCCCGCTCTTATAAATAAGCTCGTGGGAAGCTGGGCATGGCAGTGTGCTGTTGGTTTGGCCCCTGGCTGCCAGGTTGCACACTTTGCAAGGAACCACCCAGCCTGGCTGGTACCCAGCACGGAGGCTTTTGAATCTGACTCCTGGCTTTTTGTCTGATTTGCTTATCCTCCCAGGAAGCCACTTAATCCTGAGCCTGTGGCTCCCTGTTTACAGACCAGTAACGGTGAGGTTGGGGAACCTCTCGGAATCCAGGGCAAACATCTTGGCCTCAAAGAGGCTTTCTTGGTGTCAGTGTTTTTGTGTTTTATTTCACAGGAAAGATGGGAGAAATAGTCACGAGCAGTGACTGTCTTCTCTGATCCTGTGAGTTCTTAAAGTGGGCAGCTTTTCAAATTTTGCAGAGAGAGAGAGAGAAAATAGGCCAGGTTGTGGGGGTACCTGGGGTAGGAGGGTGAGATTAGACTTGGGAGCCACACTGGCTGGGACCGGAATCAGCCTTCTCCAGGAGTTAAGTCTCTGCTCTTTGATGGGTCTTTCAATGCCTGTCCATCTATCTCCTTTTGCCTGTTTGTAAATAAGGACGATCCCACACTTGTCTCCTGTGCCTCTCTGAGCTGCTGGTCAAGTGTAGAGCCCTGGAGTGCTAGGCCTGGCTTCTTGCTGTGTGGCCTTGCAGCGTGGAGTTGGGCTGCCAGGCCCAGTACTGGCTATGCAGGTCCTCCCCTCCAGCTGTGCAGGTCCTTCCTGTGGCCCTGGGGTGAGCTCTCAATTCTGTAAACACAGGAGCCTCAACGCTGGCACACCTGTGCTGGGCAGGGTGGTCTTATGGCCCAATGAAAATGGCCTCACTGCATGTAGGTTCAGAGGACACGTGAGAAAGTTGAGCTCTTGGCACCATCTCTGGATTGCCAGCCACTGTGGATGGAACCCCTGTGCTCTGACTCCAGATTGGGTACACTTGGGCTGTCTTGGTCCCATGAGCTGTGTCTTCCTGGCAGGGCCCCTCTGGGTGGTGGGTGGTGACACGAAGCCCCTCTGTGAGGTGGCGGGCTGTGTGCTGCTAGGCCTCTTCCTGTTGGTGCTGGGGAGGAGAGGCATCAAGAGGCACCCAAGTGAAGCTTTGCAAAGCAGATTTGAGAGGCGGGGGAACAAGCAGAGGAAGAGAGGCAGGAACAAAGAGAACCTTAGCCAGACGGGGCTCAGAGCTGAGACCTGCCCAGCCCCCAGCCCAGGGGTGAAAACTTCCTGCAGTTGTCACCTCCTCCCCTGGACTCCAGATGCTCCTGCCAGGCTGGGCGGTCAGCCCATCAGAGCCACCTGAACCTGGCTGCCCGGTGGAGGTGGCTGGGCCATCCCTCGAAGAGCCCAGACTTCTGAGCCCTGAGATGGCCACGTCCAGTCCTCAGCACTCTGTCCAGGCCAACCTGAGGCCCTGTTGGAAATAATCAGAATCCAGGTTCTGCCTGGAGAATTCTTGGTGGCAAGGCAGTGCTCTTGAATATTCAAGCCCGAATAAAAGACATCAGAATTGTGTTGATGTCCAGAGCTCATCGCAGCCAGCTCCGAGCACCATGTTCTTCTTTGTCGCACCCCTCCCTACTTTTCATAACCACCCTCTCATAACTCCTTCTCAGCTTATTTTTCTAACTTTAACTCCAGGTTTTCCCAGAAACTCGTTTTCTTACCATTTGGTGTGCTCCCGGTTGTGTCAGCCTACCTGAACAGCAGTCTTGCTGTTGGTCTAGTAGACATGGGGAACTGGTGTTTCAGAGCATTGCTGGTGTGCCAGGCCCATGCGCTGGTCTTGGGCTTCCTCTATGTCTGCACAAGAGCTCTGATGCTGGTGTTACCATGCATCTGTGTTACTGGGCCACAGAGCACACTCAGTATAGTCAGGGGCTGGCTGGTGCTGGTGAATCTTGGAGCTCCACGTGTAACCTCACCTGCCCACTGGGCTCACCTGGAGACTGAGACCTCTGTGTTCTGTAGATCTTCTGCAGTCAGGACCTTCATCTTGCCAGGATCCCTTGAGAGTCTGGGAAGCACTGAGGACCAGCACCGTCCAGAGTGCAGAGAAAGCCAAGGGTGGGTTGGGAGACTCAGAAGAACTGATTTCTACTCTCCTGCAGCAGGAGTGGTCAAATTCACTACTCTGCCCCTTGCAAGGAAGCTGTCAGGTGCTGAATGTCATTTATTTGTCACAGCCAGCACACGAGTGCCTGTGGGTGATGGTTTCAGCTTCCCTGCATCTCTCTGAGAAATGATGAATGGTAGTGTTAAGGAGAGGTGCACAGCTGGCCTCCTCCTGGTTGCCTGTGTGCTTTGCCTGCCCTTCTCATCTCTGTTTGTGCACATCATTTGTAAAAGGTGCCTGGGTGGGAGGCTGAAGGGGTGACTCTGGGTGAAGCTTGGTCTCAGAAGGTGGGAGCAGGAGCCTGGTGCCCACCCCTTTTGTGGGTGTCTTCTGTTTTCCTCCTAGCCTTCTGTTTTCCTCCTAGCCTTATTCCAAGACAACAATAAATGTGAACGTCTTAGTTTTTGGAATTGAAAATAGCAGAATAACAGTGTTTGTGTTGATTCTCTGAGCTGATATAAGGAAAATCTTGCCTAAAATAGCCCAAACAATGGAGGAATAGAGACAGTTTTTCTTGGATTTAAATTCTGTTTTAGGGCAAAGCAAAAGTCACTATGCAGTGACTGCCAATAAGAGCTTATGTTCCAAGTCTTGGGAGGTAGAGACTCAGGGCTGCTGTACCAGGAGGACGTAGGGTCTGCAGTCTGGCTGCTGAGGGGCTAAAAGACTGGTTGTGGAGCTGCCTTGGCAGGGCAGGCCTGCTGTTGGGTGGAGCTGTGGGACATTGGTGGTGGAAACTAGGAAGGCTGCTGTCCCCTGCCTGTGAGCCTTGCTGGCCTCCTGGGTGCTTAGAAACTCTGCCTTTGTATGTTGCTTCCTGGATGAATATCCAGATACCCACATAGTTCCATATTGCAGATTTAACTTCCTAATTGTGCTTTTCCTGGGACAGGAATTGATACATTGTTTTTAATTTTTTTCAGCACATAGAATTAAGAGCTGATTTTAGTTATTTAGATTCTACTTTGTAACAAAAAATCAATTTTCCCCTTTTACAAGGAACATGTGCTCATTATAAGAAAGTTTGGAAAGGACAAGAAGTCAAAGGAAGAAAAATGATTACCCATATGTAATCTTGCCATCTGAAGCTAATTTACATCCTTTCAATCTCATTCTCTGTGCAAATTTCTTGTAGAACTGTGTTCATAATATGCATCCTGATCATTCTCTTTTAACATTACCTGACAGACATTTCCTTTATAAATATGATTTTAAATTGCTACATACTAATCTTTGATGCACATATACTTGAATTTGTAAATTATGTTCATATTGTTGGATAGTGCAGTTTCTGACAGTTTTTACTGATAAATAATGCTCCGATGAACACCTCTGTGCGTAAAAGCTCTTCCGTATATTTGATTATAGGATAAACTCCCAGAAGCAGAATTCTTGGATCCAAAGATGTGAACTTTATTAAGGCTTATGATTGAATTTCCAAGGGGGATTGGTTGATCTTAACTTGTGAGACTTCACTGAAATCAATTTCTTTCAGCTGCCAGCTGCCTCTTCCTAGCCGTGTGTTCAGAAGGAGCGGCCCGCTCCCCAGTCAGCGGAGGGGTGCAGCGGCTGGTGTTTGTGAAGCTGTTTGCAACCTGCTGCCGCAGAGGCTCCCTGAGAGCTGTGGGGCGGCGGGGGGGGGGGGGGGGGTCTCAGTTTGCTGTTTTTGTGCTTCCAGGCCATCTTTCTGCTCGGCTCAGGTTCATTCAGGCAAAGCTGTAGATGCTTGAAATATCACTGTCGTTAAACAACCCCCGCCCCCAAGGCTGGGTCAGCCCTCATCCAGAAAGAGCCCCAGTGGTGTGGGGTTTTGCTGAGGTTGGCTGTACTTTGGGTGACTAGGAAGCACCTTGGGTGCTTCCTGGTTTGGAATTCTGCTTTTTCCCTGCCCTGACACCATCCTTCCACATCAGAGGTTTGCATGAGACATACTCATAGATTTGTTAAGTTGCTTCAGTGTTAGAAAAAACGTTTAACCTTGGATAACTAGGCAGGTGAATGTACAGCAAGTCTTTCTTGTGAAAAGGATAATCAGAGCCAATTTACAGAAATCTGGGTTTTTCACCGA